ATCCAAAGGAAGGTCTTGTCACAAGAATTACATATGTAGAGTATGAAAGCCCTAGCACCAACCGTTCAAAAGTTATGGCCAAGGTTGAAGTTTTTCAAAAGTACATAAAACTCCTAGGACAAGGTCAAAGGGTCAAAGTTGTTAATATCCATAGGAAGGTCTTTTCACAAGGATTACATATGTGAAGTATGAAAGCCCTAGCACCAACTGTTCAAAGTTATGGCCAGGTTTAAAGTTTTTCAAAAGTAGGCCAAGGTCAAGGTCAAAGTTGTTGGTATCCAAAGAAAGTCTTGTCATAAGAATTATACATGTGAAGTATGAAAGTCCTAGCACCAATTGTTCAAGAGTTATGGCCAAGGTTAAAGTTGGGTAAAATTTTACAAAACTGAGTTCAAATTCCAAAGTCAAGGTCAAATTAGATGGTACCCAAAGAAAGGTCTTGTCACAACAAATATACATCTTAAGTATGAAAGCCATAGCTCTTACAAATCAAACGTTATGGGAAATGTTAAAGTTTTTGCGGACAAACAGATAAACAGACAAAGACAGATGGATCGACAGGGCAAAAACTATATACCCCGAATCTTCGATTACGGGGGCATAAAAATAAATAAATTGGACTACTGGAAGCTGGTGTATCACAATCTACGATTACAAGAGGTTTTAATGGTGTCTAACCTTTAAAACAACAAGATGTGTTCGTTAAACACTGATGCCCCCGTATGGCAACTTATAGTGAAGGTAAAACTTTCTCAAATGCAACTTTGGTACCCAAAGTAAGGTCTGGTCCAGATGGATTTTACCTGTGAAATAAAAAAAAAGCCCTAGCAGCAACCATAGAAAAGATATGGAAAAGGTGAAAGTTTTTCAAAAAGCAAGTCAAACATCAAGGTCAAGGTCAAATGATCAAAGTTAATTGTGCCCAAGGAAAGGCCTTCTCACAAGAAATACACATGTGAAATATGTAAACCCTCACTCCAATCGTTTAAAATTATGGCCAAGGTTAAAGTTTTTTCAAAAGTAGGTCAATCTCCTAGGTCACGGTCAAAGGGTCAAATTTGTTGGTATCCAAAGGAAGGTCTTGTCACAAGAATAACATATGTGATATATGAAAGCTCTAGCACCAACCGTACAAAAGTTATGGCCAAGGTTAAAGTTTTTCAAAAGTAGGTCAAACTCCTAGGTCAAGGGCAAAGGGTCAAAGTTGCCCAAAGAAAGGCCTTCTCACAAGAAATACACATGTGAAATATGTAAACCCTCACTCCAGTCGTTCAAAATTATGGCCAATGTTAAATTTTTTTCAAAAGTAGGTCAATCTCCTAGGTCAAGGTCAAAGAGTCAAATTTGTTGGTATTGAAAGGAAGGTTTTGTCACAAGGGTTACACTTATGAAGTATGAAAGCCCTCACATTAACCGTTCAAAAGTTATGGCCTAGGTCAAGGTCAAAGGGTCAAATTTGTTGACATCCAAAGGAAGACCTTGTCACAAGGATTACACATATGAATTATGAAAGCCCTAGCATTAACTTTCAAAAGTTATGGCCAAGGTTAACGTTGTTTTGTAAAATTGGGTCAAACTCCAAGGTCAAGGTCAAAAAGTCATTTATGATGGTACTGAAAGAAAGGTCTTGTCACAAGGAATAAACATGTGAAATATGAAAGCCATAGCTCCAATCAATCAAAAGTTATGAGCAATGTTAAAGTTTTTTGCGGACAAACAGACAGAATGACGGACGGACAGGGCGAAAACAATATACCCCCGAATCTTCGATACGGGGGCATAAAAACAACAGCATGGTACAACAAATGATCGCAAAAAATATGACAGACCACGCGTGACATCAGCAGCACACGATCGCTTCAGTGGTTTGCGTAATTTTAAACAATTTTACAAAGACATTAGCTATCCCTGAGCTGCATAGAATATCAAACAAGACCGTTTGCAATTGACTACTGAATGCTATAATAATCGCCTGAGGACTTATTCATGCCATTGTTCTGACCCTAAAACACATCAACTTTCGACTTGAAGATCTCAGACCAAAGCAACACCGCTGAATAGTTTGGTTTAGCTACTAGTCCAAAATGTTTACTGCAAAGCCTAATGTAAGAGTCAGAGTGCGAAGGCTTCGTAATTAACGTTTTACAAAAAACTACCTCTGGGAGGTTGATAGATTTGGTGTTGGTAGTGTAATGATGTGGAAAACAGTATTAGATACAAGTAGGACTGATTTGGTTCATATTAACAGGACTTGACGGAAAACGGTACTCTAACGATGTTCTTCCTGGACATGCCTTTCCAATATTGCAGCATCACAGCACCGTACTTCAATCTGACTATACACAGCCATATACGACTCGTTGATAATCTCATTCGTGCAAAGCCACAGCATCTTGTATTGCCTTGGCCAACTTAATCACCAGATTTAAGCCCATTGAGCATGCATTAGACAAAATGGATAGGCATGATCCACCAAAAACACTACCATCTCCAGACTCACCAAGAGCTGGCCAAAGTTCTACATTTAGTGTGTGATATCATTTCCGTACATTTTTAAAACACTCATTTGCGTTCTTTAGGATGCCATTTTAGACTATCATTGTTTTCTGTGGGGTTATACCAGATATTGATCGAAGATTCGGGGGCATATAGTTTTTGCTCTGTCCGTCCGTCTAGCTGTCTGTCTGTCTGCCTACAAAGAATTTAACCTTGCCCATAACCATAACTATTGATTGGTTGGAGCAATGGCTTTCATATTTCACATGTGTATTTCTTGTGTCTTTTTTGGGTACTAACATACGAGTATTTGTATACTTGTACAGTACTTGACCTCTTGGAGTTACGCAAAATGTTACTAAACTTTAACCTTGGCCATAACTTTTAAACAGTTGAAGCTAGGGCTTTCATATTTCACATGTGTATTTTTGTGACAAGACCGTTCTTAGGGTTCCAACAAATTTGACCTTTTGACCTTAACCTTGGGCTTTGACCCACTTTTAAAAAACTTGGCCATTACTTTTGAATAGGTGGAGCTAGGGCTTTCATATAAAACAAGTATTCCATTTGATCTGACCAAATATCATAAACAATTTTAGAATCATAGAAAGTTCTTTAGGATGCCATTTTAGACCATCATTGGTGTCAATATATCGAGTTGAATTTGCTTTAACGAATTTAGGACCAATAAAAGATCTGAATTTGATATTTGTCCATTTCCCGTATTTATCACCTGCAAACTGAGTTTACTATTGTCGATGCAATGACCTTGTTAGCAAATACTATCTATCGTTAAGTCGAATATTTATTGACGTTTTTCATATAAATTGTTAGACCATTAATTTCACTGAATTGTCTATGGATTTTTCCGTTTGCCCAGTCATGACATGGAGCGCATGGTGTTTATGACCGGTCGACAAGGGATGCTTACTCCTCCATGGCACATGATCCCATCTCGTAGAGGTCCTTGTTTAGTCTGCTCCCAATTTGAATTGTTCTAATTAACTATTGAGCTTTACAACAGCTGTTTGTTATCTTTATATTTTATTATCTCTCTGATTTTCTTTGCGTTAGATATTTTCTCTAATGCAGGGATTCTTTTTCTACGGTACACTGAAGAACAAACACATTTGGCCACCATTAAAAATATCTTTGTTTCCCCTAACCCGACCCTAAAATCTCAAGTTGGGTAGGTAGGTAGGTAAATTATTTTTTTTTTTTGACAGCAGTTTTGAAAATACATTCTGGAAAATTAAATAATATCTTTATAAATAAGAAAGAACAAAAGAAACCAATTTTTAAGCCGAATGTCATGCAAATGAAATTTAAAAGCAACATGTATGGTACATTAATTCACAAATATTATTCATTTGAACTTGTAAAATATCTCCAGTGTAAATCTATTGAAATCGAATATTCAACCTATTTTCATCATCAGGTTTACACAGGCAATGTAATTTTTCAAGGCGCAATGCTTCTAGAGCGTTTCGTTTTGGGGTCACGACATAATTTAGGAGCTTATTCTAAGTCACAGGTTCCGACGTGGGATGTGGAAACCGGTCATTCGATTGAGACCGTAAAAACGGAGATCCAGTGTCGCAGTGGATGCTGGCACGAAAAAGATCGCTTACAGATCAATGGTCATAAGCGCCAAGTAAAAGTTTGGATCCCCCACCAGGCAAATGTTCATATGGTGTGGTCCACCATTTTCAAAGGGATGTGAAAGCAAAGAAACAACCTATTTTCAAGGTCCTAACTAAAGAAAAATACACTGGACGTCTCAGGAAGCCGTACCTTAAGCATAAGATTTCAAAACTATTTGGAAAGAGTATATGTACAGTTATGTTCATGTGCCTCTGTATATTAAACAATATTTAATTCAACCAAACCATATCTAAAAATGATTAAAATGCCATATCTAATGTTATAGTCATGAAGTTTAACCTATGAATAAAAGGAATGAAGCAACGGCATCTGAATGATATTTATCAGGATGAAATAATTATGCAAAGACATATTACAACTCCTATATTCCTATATTACAACTCCTATGGTCCCAGATAGTATAAATGGGATCATACATGAACTGGTAATTAGATCAACACTCAACACAAATGAAATTCCGTGAAATGTATTGATATGTACACAAGCTGTGCCCCTCATCTGCTCATGAGACAGGCTTTGCCATGCTCACTACGTATGTTAATTTAAGAAGACACATTTGTAAATACCATCGAAACACTCCTTAGACTTAGCTAGTCATGTATATTAAATTAACGAAATGTTTCAAGAGTGTAGGATTCTAATAAGTTAAAGATATACATAACAAGACTGATTCGTCGCCGTTTTTTTTTATAACTCGAACTACATTATGTAGCCCTCCGTGACCACACGTTGTGAGAGCCATTTTGTTTCCAAAGAGCCATTTTGTTTCCAACAACAGAGTAGAACAAAAGCAGACGTTCTGATAAAAATGGATATTGATGAAATTGTGTTTTTAAAAAAATTGATAAACAATAAAAAAAATATTTGAATAATCTTATTATATAAACTTTTTCAGTCGGTGCGATTTAAGTGGGTCGGTCGCTTTAGGGGAAACAAAGGTATTTTTTATTTTGGCCTTTGTTATGCTTTTATATATAAATATAACAACTATATTTCAGTGTAAACGCATGTGGTACAGAAAAATAAAATATACAATTGTTAGTTTAAAAAATCTAGAATTATTTTTGTGGACTGAAACTATGTAAATAAACTGCTGGTTTTTTCAGCTATGTTTGTACACTTTGATGTCACCGTTTTCTTGCGTGACGACTAGTTGCCCAAATGGACTGAGACAAACTGCTATTGGACTTTGCAATCCATCCGTTTGATTGATTAGAATAGACTTGTATTTTCCTTCATTGTCGAGACAGTGTATTGTATTGCCTGTTTTATCAGCAATAAATATGTTGCCGAATCGGTCGGTACAGATTCCGCGTGGGTCCTTGATGACATCCTGGCTTAGATTAGCCTCATATCGAACCTTTCCATCCCGATATAAGCATATAATACCGTTTTTTGATTGGCAGTCCGAAACAACAACTTCACCTTGTGTATTGCACGTAACGTAGTAAGGCCATGTAAACAGTAGCTGACCCTTGTGTCTGTAATCATCCCGGTATGTTTGAATTAAAACGCCGTCTAGTGTTAAAACATCGACACACTGCATTCCTGCTGCACAGCACGTGACAACAAGTGATGGATTTCCAGGACATGTGATTGCGTCACAACTCACTCCGCGATACTGTTTGCTTGTTCTGATTCTTTTCCTTATGCGCATGCTTGTTTCCTGAACAACCACGAACATGATTGTAGATAATTCTGGTAGTGTCACAGCTAACTCACAGCTAGACACATCGACAAGACCATGAGGCCAGCTTGGGACAGCACTCTGTAACGTAAATTTTATCCTTATGATTAATAGGAGAAGTCAAAAGAAAAATAAAGGATAATCATTATACACATAAAGAATTGGTTGAATCTTAGAATTCTAATATATATATATATATATATATATATATATATATATATATATATATATATATATATATATATATATATATATATATATGAAAACTTTTTAGATAGATCAATAGAGGTATTTAAATTCCATAGACACTGAAGGACATAATACTTAGAGGAAGGTTTAACGCATGAGACACACTAAAATAATGGTTAATTACTTAATCTAGGATTTATAAGCAGCTATAAATCTATTGTTACTTTTTATATCATCCTGTAATTATACTCGTATTCCTTGAATCTTCGGAATTAAAAAATGCCTGAGTGACTTCTCTGTTACCTTTCATTGAACTTTCTAAACATAGTACCTTTAACAATAATTTATTCCAGGCTTGAGTAAAATGCACTCCAATTGAATTTTCTGTATGGATTTAAAATAAAAATACGTTTAAGCATACCTCTCCCATAACGGTTCCCGTAGCATCAAAGGCTTTGATTTTCTTATTATGGAAGTCTGTTATGACAGGAGTTCCATCTTCTAGAACAGCTACATCTAGTGGCCAGCACTTTTTAGCATCTCCGTCAGTTCTTCCATTAAACGTAAACATTAAAGGTAGACCTAAGTTAATTAGAAAATTACTAAGTCATATTTGAAAAATACATGTATAACGTTCAGTTGTACATAGCGGTATAAAATATATATTTCGTACCCATTCACATATTAAAATATAAAGAACTCCTCTACTCCTTCTGATATACTTATTTGCATAATTAAAAAAAACTATATACACTGTATCATCCTCTTTTCTTTGAAAAATTACCTTTTGATTTGGGAGGCGACTGTTGTTTGATATCTTCTGTTGATTTCTTTTTGCTTTGATCATCTATGGGTATTTCTTCTTTTGATGGCGTTTTGACTGTAGAACTCTGTCGCCCTGCCGATTTTGGACGAGGTGGAGGTTGAGGAGCCTCTTTCCTAGCAGTGCGTGGGGAGAGAACTCCCGACAACCTTGCAGATGGAGTAGTTGGACGGTCCCGAACGTTTGAAGGCGTGGTAGCTCGAATATTTGTAATGCCATTCTTTTCCTTTACTGCTTCCAATCCCCCTGATGATTTTGTTCTGGTAACACTCGGGGGTCTTTGCACTCTGATCGTTCTTGGCATCGTACCTGATCGTACTGGAGGAGTTTTCCTGCCACTGCCAGCAGACGGAGTTTCAGAAGGTCTTGGAGTTTTGATTCCCATACTTTCACGCAAACTTGGCTTTATGGGCTGATTCCTCCTTGGTCTAGTTGGTGCCATTTCTTGTGAACTTATGGATTCGTTAGACGTTGAAGAAGCAGATGAACTTGAATGTAATGAAGAAGGGGGTGGTACAGGCTTTTCCACACGGAATGTTCCAGTTCGCTTGATAGAAGAACTTCTTTCCACAGGTTGGTAATTCTTAAGCCCGTTTGCATTCAGATCTACCATATCGACGATCTTTCCTAAAGATTTCATTTCTAGGACTCTTTGTATAGCAGGGTCGATTGCAAGCTTGAATCTGGTGTTCAGTTTGTTTGTTTTCGCCTTTTGAATTGTTGATCTCATGTCGTCTGTTTGCACCTTGATCACGTCAAAAACAGACACCAATTCCGAATCACTTCCAAATTCTGTCAAATATTTCATGAACCTCGATGTGTTCATCAAAGTTTTCTTCATTTCTTCCACATCTTTCAAACGATCGTTAACCTCCACAATTGTATCTTTGTGCTTCTGGTCCAAGGTATCCACGAGTTTGTTCTCCAAATTCAACAAAACTTCGTTGACTTTTTTGCGAAGACCTGACATTTCTTTGATCAGATTCTCTTTGTTTGTCTTGAGTTCGGAAAGTTCTCTGATATGTTCTTTTTCCCATTCCTCTAGAACTTTTGACTGGACTTCTATATCCTTTGTAATGTAATCCTTTTCGGGTGCCAGCTTCTGCACGGCTTCTCTGATTGTTTCAACTATCTCACATCGTCTGTGTTGCATTGCAACGCAGGAAGAGCAGATAGTCACATGACAGTCTACACAGTAATACTCTATTATCTTCTCCCTGTGGTAAGGACAAGCAATTTCCTTTTTGTTCTCTTTAATACTCTCTATCGGATCTTGACGCATGTTGTTGAGGGGCATCACCTGATGTTCCCTGCAAGCCTTAATGATGTTATGAGCTTTTATACATGCTTCGCAAAAAGCCACTTTACAGGTCTGGCACCATACCTCTGCCTTTGCTTGGTCCTGGTTATCTTCGCGGGTACACGACTCGCAGTTCTTATTTTCCGTAAGCATCTCTATTTTCTCTATCATGTTTTGTATGAAGTTATTGTCGGGGAAGAGATCAGCCCATTGGTCCGTATTATTGTTGCCGGAAGGAATACTGATGTGTATGTCGGCCTTACATACTGGACAGTTGTAGAGCTTGGAATTTTTTGATGCTCCATTTTCTTCCGAAGTAGCATTTTCCTCTGGTTTAAGGTTCTTTCCTGTTATTTTCTCAAGATCTTCTGTTAGGCAGGATCGACAGAAACTATGGAGACAAGGAAGAACTTTAGGCCCTTTGTATTGCTCATGACACATTGGACACACGAGAATCTCATCCTGAATTTGTTTCAAGTTCTCCATTTTCAAGAAAAGTCCATGTAGCAGTATCTTCTTATAGTGTCACTCAGCCCATACTATAATATGAATAAGAAAATGGGGTTTATTAAATGGCATTTTCTCTAGACTTAATGAAAAAAATGGAGATTAGAACTTTTAATGCTCCAAAATAATTGTACAACAATTAAATCAAAGGGGAGCCAAAGTTCAGTTGTGTGCTTTCTAGATTTAAAGGGAATTCCATTACATCCTAATCTAATAAATGATCCTTTTTGTAGGATACAACAGACTTAAATTACGTAAACAGCCATAATACGAAATTATTTTCACACTACTCTTATAATTACATTAATTAAAAAAGTAGATCAGTATATAGAAAACGTGCTTGAGTTATTTGTTGATATATCGCATGAGGAAAATCCCTGGATAAAAGAGCATTTAATTTTAAACCAAATTCAAAATAAAACTTTCCTACAATATTTTCCAGTCTGATAAATTCCCAAGGCAATTTGCCATTTTAGCTGTCTATATACATGTACGATGAAATATAAACCCTAATCACATACAGATATGTGCTCATCTACTTAAATTACAGTTTTATTCCTAAACATATCTACCCCAGGCGAAATTGTTCTTTGCAATTGACACCATGTAAATATTATTAAGAGGATCAGCATTAAAATACCAAAATCACTGCCAATCTGAATTTTCAATAAATGAGTAACCAATCTCTTGCGCAATTTACAAAACTAAGATTGGTACAGGTTAACTATTTACTTAACACATCGACGTGATCGATATCAATACATGATTTATGTGTAAATTCATACAAAGCGTCGGCATAAACTGGAAAAATTGTGTTTTTGGAACAGCTTACTTATTAATAATTCAAGAAACATGTGAATATCTAGCATTGTTTCCTATCTATAATCCTAATATATGATTCACAAATCGATGCATTAATTGTAGAACCTTACATGCAATTTGAACAATGTGCTTAAATTATAGTAATGAAAATAATTTATGCATGAAGTGTCAACTAAGAATTCTTAACGCATTCGATGTCGAGATTAAACTGATTACAGACTGGGCTAATAAATGTCACCAAGTCATGTTGATCAGAATCATTGTTCTGTATTTTTGTTAATGAAATGTGTTTCAAAATCTCATTTGAAATACTTCAATTCAGATTCGTCATGTCGTTGATGAAAATGATTAATTGCAACTAAAATCACGTGAATTTGTCATTTTTCATCATTTTTGTATCAATTGCTTTGAATTAAATAAAATATCCACATCATAAATACAAGATCATGGAAAGTTAAGGTCGTTAATCATAAGCACATTTGTCAAATTTAATGTTCTTTTGAGGTTAAAGTTAAAAAAAAAATATCTTTCAATATTAGGCCATAAAATTTATGAGTCATTTTCACCCCTTTTTTTTCCCCTCGTTTACTGATAGATCTTTAAGACTGGCAGGGTATTACATGTAATGGGAAAAATATAAGGGTATTTCGGTACAGACTATCGTGCAAAAACTAGAGTGGTTTCTTTCAGATAAGTAACACGCAATGAGTGTAACTTTTCGAATGGCGAAGGACCATGTCCGTTATCAAAAAAAAAAAAAAAAAAAAAAAAATCACATTTCTGCATACTTATATTTGAATTGAAGTTAGCGTTAAAGAAGGTTTTTTTTTCATGACACAAGTTAAAGGGTTTTCAATGCTACTTATTTCATATTATGTAATCTTTGCAGTACAAACGACTGATAAAAAGTTTATTCAATTAATCCTACATTTAGTAAAAACAAGTTCTCTTTGATGTCCCCTCTTAATGTACAGAGATCAACCTTCATTTTATTTAAGAGGAAAATAGATGCAATTACTACCGCATTGAATAAACCTTTGTGCCCAGGACATAAGTTTTTTTATCCTCTCTGATCTCGCAGTCGTAAGAATTTTTGACACCTGCGAGATTTCTCCTATAAAGCTTTGATTACTGGTCCGCTCTCTTCGTCTAATATGTTTTATCTTTCAATGCTTAGACCGACATACATTTTATTTGTGTATTGAATCTTACAAAGACCCCAAACACGCCAGAGGTGACCTGTTTTGTATTTTATTTTCGGAATGGAAAAGTATATTTAGCAAGTGAAAATTGAATGCTTTATTATGATTTTGAATGATGGCAAACAGAACACCGCGTTTAAGAAATGATAAAGCTCTTTTTTTTCACGAGAGCTTCCAATTAATAAAATGATTCTTTATTTTGGATTTAAGATTGAATTCAAAATTGGATTTATTTTGTTAAATGAATTTTTTGTTAACAAGATTGACACTTGAAAGGGAAAAAAAGGAACTAGATAATAAAGGACTATCATTGGCATTACAAAATAATCAAAGGTACATGTATGCTGTTCCGGAATATTTTCATTCTGTCATTGCTATATTTCTTTTTCCATTTGTCAATTTTTGGAGGGCAAGGAATGGGGCTTAAATATTTAAATTTAAATTTGTATACAAGTAAAACATCAAACTTTGACGTTTAAAGAAGTTACATTTGTACTTTGCATGTTAATGAGAGTAGAAAGTACATAAATTATTTACCTCCAAAATGTTTGCTAAAATATTCCAGACATCGAAAGAAAATTCACAGTTATAAGTATTCACTTTTCCTTTCGCTATATTCGCCACGTAATCGAGCTTCTCATCTCTTTTTAAACGTCTTTATAGCAGGTTTAGCGTTACCAAATACTTGTATTTGTATGTTAAATCCCTATTACTTAATGCTAGATTGATTGAAAGACTAGGTAGTTTGGTAGGGCAACAGTTCATGATCTGTCAAATTCCCTGCTAAGTACACCGGTTTTCTTTACTTCGAGTGTTTTCGTACAATAAGCAATTGATTCATTACTAGGGCTTAGTGAAGCGAGATCAGATACACCTTTGCTGGAACACCTGATACGCACATACAAAAACATCCATGTATGATATTTGTATTGTCCCTGGGCACCTCTTGTCTGGGACGAGAAGCAAATGATGTGTATTGAAATCATTCTACGAAGGTACAACATTCATGTAAAGATAGACAGAAAGATAAACACAAAGTCATATTCCTGTCCCAGAATCTTGTTTTTATCAGTATCAGGAGCTGTCATCTATGTTATTTAATGGTCGACAAAAAGAAGGCTATACAAAAATATACAGGCACCTTGGATCGGTGTTAAGTTACTTTCTTCAAAATATGTCCCTGAAATATTGCTCATGAGAAATCCACGCCCCTCATTCACATTTTTCGCGATGTACTACCATTGACCAGATCATACAGTCCATTTCATCGATCTCAAATTTCAAAGATTACATATATACATGCATACACCTATTCATCTTAGTTATATATGATGGATCTAAAATGTTTCATATGGAACAAAAATATAGTGTTAAAGTAATATACATGAACTGCATATGGTCAGTCTAATACTGAAGTTCATGTCTAATTGTCGAAACAGTTCTAGTTCTACTCGAATATCAATGGCTTTGTCAACATAGACATTCAGGTCTGTACTTTCACAATTTATTCTAAGGCAGATAAAGATTTCAAGACACAGACATAAGTGTGATATATCGAACATATGTCAAAGGGTTTTTTTTTGCAAGTGAAGTTGTCTATCATTGATCTTAAGGTGCGGTGTTTCTTACTTGGAGATGGAGTCACCAAAAGAAGTAGGAGTGAATTTTAAAACCAAGAGGAAAATTATAAATTATGCCTTAAATGCCTTCGACAAAATTATGTAGGATCAACGTTGATTTACATGTACAATGTATTAATTACATAGCAAATTAAACACGCACCTTAATTTTTAAAACAATGCAGTGTTATTATGAACAATGCATACCGATTTTTCTTTTAAATGAGCATTAATGCAAAATAGTTGGCGACTGTTTGTAGCCCAATATTATGCACAATAACAGTGTCATTTCGGTGCAGAGGTGCGACATCATTACACAGAAAAAGAAGCGTAACGATGACTGTACGGTTTGGTCCTATGCCTTGTAGGCTGAACAAACCTATGTTTTTATGACCTTTTAATGTTCTGTATTATTCTACTGATGGCTGATGATAATACGAAAACTAATCCTTCTTAATGATGATAGACTCAGTCATGTGATGATACCATCAAACAGAGAAAGTAAGTTTTTAAAGTTCCAAAATCTCTCACTCAACTCGTATAGTGAAGTACATGTAATCATCTTGATTAGGGACAGTAATTCTCTTTCTTTAAATTTACCATAAATAAAGTGTTCAAAGAAAATACGTTATTAAATCATCATCATGATAAAAGTATAAGGCACAATACTTACATAACGTTTGTAACGATATCATTTTCGAAAAGCTGTTAAATTCCACCCATTTTAAAGCTCTATCAAAGCGATATTACTAGATAGATCTTGGTACACTTTGTGTATATAAAGATATTAAAACTTTCTGCCTTAAGCAGACCGCAACGAACTCGTTTGCACTTGGACCAATGGCCTCACAGATTCACAAAGGCTGAATTACAACAGGTAAATATAAAGGGCTCGAACTACCGTATAAAAAGCTTCCTCACATATTCCTTTGTCTTTAAATGTTTCAATTATTTCTGACAGTGGTAAATCTGAAGATATAATTACCGTAAAGCGATAAAAATAAATCAGTTGAGAATCACTTTCTCTTAATACAATGTAAATATTGGACGATGTAACTGGAATAAACTTTTCAAAGACATTCCATCTTGGTTTCTCCATTGACCCATCCAACAGTAATCTCTCATCTAGACCGGCATTCCATACGGATCAGAAGCCATTCAGTCCTCTTTTCACGGAGGCCAGTTAAATTTCATCAGATGAAACTTAACTATCTTGCATTATCAAACAAAATTTATGGTATGTAAACAAAGGTTTAAAAGTTCGTGCACTCCATTAAATTCAGAAAATGATCCGAACATTTCACTCAGAAGGTCCATATAATTAGTTGCCAACTACCTAAAGTAGTATAATTTTTTCCATGAAGATATTTAACATTAGAACTAAAGCAATTAATTAATGAAATGCGTACTTAATTCACTAACCTCTAATATGCCGTTTTTCCACTACTGTCTGAACAAGTATGTCACAATTTGATATACATTGTATTTTATGCAGCGCTAGGGAAACTTAATATATATTTTTGGCGGTGCCAAAAGATAAAGCCTATGGAATGGAGTATTATACTAGGGTATTTAAAGAAAGATTCGTCCAATGTGTGTACCTGCATTATTTTAATCAATCGCATTTTGGACGTATTCTGTGAATAGACCCTTGAATATACCTTGTGAAAACAGCTCTCTCATAAGATAAGCTGAATCGTAAGTTTTTCTTTAAATTGAAAGGTATAATTAAGATTTCTCCGGAATATGATCCCTAATTATTTCTTCAAATGAGATATTGTTTTTCAGAATAGCAAAAGTTTGTATTAATAAAGTGGTTGGTCATATAAGATTGAATTGTTACAAAATTTGAAATATATATAGGAAAGGAAAACCTTAATCTAGCATGGGAAATTAACTGTCCTTGAAGTTTCACGATGGGAATAAGTATATAGTGTTTGCTTTGCTAAAGATAGCATACATTTTTATAAGATGTCCTAAAGGAGTAGTAATCCAACATGTAGCGAACCCGAACAAATTAAAATCATCTTTATGACCAATTTTTATCTCAGGCAAAGAATGTCAATAATTTGTTCATTGTTGAGGGATTAGGGTCACCATGATAGAATTAAATGAAGCATTTATACAGTAAAGAGACAATGATGAAAAGGAATCTGTTGATCAATCACAATAATTCTGACTCACAATAAGATACCTGCAGCTCCGAGTGACAGATTACACCTCAAAAAGCTCTTTTAATTGTTACAATAATCCACCACTTATATGCTAGCTACTTCACATCTGAGCTTAATACAATATATGCATTTTCATAATTGATACTTAGCAAATGTACATGAATAGTGTACAAAAATTTATTTTTTTTCATGAAAGAGACATTCTTTTGTTCCCTTTGCCATATTTTTGTATGTCTTGCTGATTTGGAACTTCAATAAAAGTTGAGGAGGATCGTGGTAACTGCCTTGCTGGTATTACTTCTGTTATTTTTCGTAAACGTTTGATTAGCATTTCATGTTAACTCAAGCCTCTCATCCAGAAAACTTCACCGGAACAAGTTAAAGGTTGTTATGAACTATTTTAAGTCAAATATTTAGTTTGTAAAGGGTGTTTTTCCATTTCTTGTAATGGGATAAGTAGCAAAAGTTGAATACAAGAGAATACAAAAACACACAGCATGATACAAAACCAATTGACCATACGAGACAATAACTTTCCTATATCCCCCCACATGGATGATAATTTAATACCCTGATTTTAAACCCCTTGTAGAGAGAAATAGCTATGATTGAATGGATTTTATGAAATTGACTCATGGCCTTTACGCAGGCCAAAGTGTGTAACCACTTTTAATACTTAATTATAAATTTAAACAACCTGTAGCTGTAAAATGAAATTGCTTGTCAGGACAGAAGGGAGGAAAACTGATACGATAGTGCATTATTGAGGCCCAGTCATATCAAGATTAAGATCGAAAAGATAAATCAATTTTTGACAGATTTATTTGAAACTTAGATGAATTCGTCCTTCTTTAAACAAAACGGAAGAAATGTAAAACTTTGCGTTTGTCTGTATTTATTACAAAACAAGCAAAATTTCGAAAATTCCAGAGCACAAAAGTACAAGACAATATTTGCAAAACTTCGACAAGTATTTCTATTTTTTTTAAACACAAAACAGATGAAGTTTTTGTAGATACATAACATCAAACAAAAACAGAACATCGGAAAGTCTTACATCTTTACGAAGTTTCCAACAGGGAACATTTTTACATGGCTTGAACAACCAACTTATACCCATTTCAAAGTTTCATTTTTCATCAGATCTCTAAGAACTGCCAAACAGATTCTTAATGCAACAGGTGGCACACTCGGTGTGCTAATTTTATCAAGTGCAATATTTACCAACACCTGGTTATGAAAAGAACTTTATACAAATACCCGTACAAATCAATTTTGTTATCGGTTCCATATCTCGTGCGTACTTTTTACACGTCAATGTTAAGACCTTTCATTTTCGCGTAGTCAATCAATGCTACATGTTTTCTGTTTTCATATTTTATAATCACTTAAGGGATGCAGCAATACCACCCATATTGACTGTACAATTGATTCTATAAAATTGTCATGATGGAGTAAATACGTAAAATTGAAAAATTAAATATTTGAAAGATGTTTATTACATTTTACGCGGCTATAAAGTGTCGATATTGCAAATGGTATAAAAAGAGACGAATTTACTGAAAAGTACTTAAAATTCCTCCCATGTATTCTGCGTAAGAGCTTTGAAAAATGGCAATGGATTTTATTCATGTACAAATAAAGACCTATATCAAAGTAAACTTTTGTGGATTTAGCTTATATAAGTGTATGTGATCTGAAGAAAAATAACAATAAAAAGACCTGACAGCTGGGAGAAGTGTAGCGACCAAGAACATTTTAATATAAATGTTCCAGAAGATTTATTTAAGGCATTTATTTAAACGAAATGCTCGAAATATTGAAAGAAACCAAAACAGATTGATAAATCTTTAATAAATACTGTACCCATTAACTGGTCGATATCCACAAGCTTTTGTGGCTTCAAAATGTACTGTATACTCAGTGGGTAACAAAGTTTTCCTAAAATGCAAACATAAACTTCTAGTACTCAATGATGAAAAAACTTTCTTCTTTGAGTATTGGATCATTATCTTTTAAATCTTTTGTTTACTGTGATAGAATCACCTCTGTTAGAAATTTTGAAATTCATTTATGTAGCTAATTAATGAGATCGATATATATGTACACTTAAATTCTTTTATGATGTTAGGTGAAGCTGTTGTCTGAAATTTCACTTCATTGAACCTTTGTACAAAATGACTTTTAAAACTCAATTGACTACTCATTAAAGATACATATATATTTATGTGCCAATGAATCTAACAAATCAGAAAAAAAGATAATTTCTCCCAAGATCTCCATTGCATGGAAGCAAATGAACTCTTTTCACCCTCTTTCCTTTCTTAACAGCAAACACCTCCCTTAATAAAAGGAAAACAAGTACGTACTATAAACATTTTGACGGCTTCCGATATCAATGTTGAACAAACACACGTATATTAACTTTACGATATTACAGACTTTAAGTCTATTCAGCTTTGGTTGGCGGTCAAAAAAAGTAAACCAAGACACGGGGAACTATACTTGATATCTGACATTTTTTAAATTGTCAAACCAACCTTGTTAAAATGTCAGGGAGTAATTGAGTTTTAAATAGTCACCAGAGACTCCCCCTTCTTGTCAAAATCCGTCGACAAAGATGTACTAAATGTCATGATGTTGCTAAATAAGCGGTATCATTTCACTTCTGATCACTTCAGTTTGACCAAAACTTGGTTGCATTGGCTCTATTATCTCTTACTATGAAGACAATATCATGAAGATTTTACATCGTTAACCCAGCTATTATTTACTCATAAATGTACATAGTTATGCATTTGCTAATTAAAAATGCATGTACTGGCTCTTTTTAAAGAATGTTTAAGATCAGACGACACGTTCCTCAATAATATATATATATATAATTTTTCCCTAGAACTTATTATTGAAGTACTGTTACATGTACTTTAACAAGTTTCCTCACCAAAAATAAGGTACCTTACCAGGTATTTGTGCAAGATACCAGAGGGTTGTTTTTCGTATATAATCCTATTTGAAATCACTTGAATTGTCAATATCAATTTTTTGTTTTCTGAGACATTTTGAAAACGGTTTAGAAATCACAAGATAATGTCAATATTATAAATATTTCTTATATATTACAAGGAAAAACAAAATAGATATTTGAGGAATGTGTCTTCAGACTTTAAAGAAAATCATTATGACAGCATTTCAATGTTTATCTTATAGCATTATACAATCAGACGTTAACATGGGTGGTGATTGTACCTCTGCCAAGCACTACACTGCCCGACACTAGAAGTGAAAGTCATGGGTCTTTCGTATGAGACTTTATAAACCGAGGTCCAGTGTCACGGTAGGCGTTGGCACAATAAAGAACCTTCACTGTTCAATGACCCCGAGTGCTGAGTAAAGGTCTAAATCTGTTCACTGGTATATGGTAACGTCTTACATGTATATGATTGGTTGTTATTTCCGATTATCAGAAAGAAATAAATTTATACCATTAAGTTCCTTTTTGAAAAATACTTCTATTTGTTGGAGTCTTTAATCTAAAGACTCAAAATACGATACTGATCTATTGCATTCAACTGAACTGTTGAAGTTTTTAGAGAAAGTAGGTAGAACTGAAAAAAAAAAAAATAAATCATACCTCTGATTTCACATAGTTAGCAATATTATGGATAATCGCATAAACTGGTTTCCCGACACTTTATCCAACTGTCAGGCTTCTGAAGTGTCTATCTGTGTAGTTGATCTACACGCTATTGACAAACTCAGTGAAGCTTTTATGTATGTACACATAATATATAAACATTGTCCAAATGTTCAGGTCGGTCGGCGTTTTGCTGCATTCATCTGCGTCGTTCAAGCACGCTGCTCTCTTTCAGAAGTAGACAAAACCGAGACTCTCCTCACCTTAGCGGATGACAGGTGATATAGATGATGGTTCGGGTATTTGTTAAAATTATTATGTTTTATAGTTACTTTTTTCTGAACTTATATTTGACACAAGTGAGGCTTTAGGAAAAAAATCCAGGGAGTTTACAGTAGCATATATTTTAGCTAAATCATGATCAATATATACTATAAAATCATGGCCGTAGGAACCGGGGGGGGGGGGGAGAGCGTGACCCCCCCCCCCATAATTTTGCCGATGCATAGATTACTATATGCTTGTGCTCCCTCAATAAAAACGTCTGATGACCTCGCGAGTTTTTATTTTTTTTTTGCTTGTCAGGAAATTATTGGTAGTGCCCCCTCCACTGTCAACTGAAAATGTATGGCTGTGCCCCCCCCAACTGAATTTGCTTCCTACGGGCCTGAAAATACAATATATTACTACTTCTAAGTAGTTACCAATTGGTAAATGCAGGAACAGAGTTGTTGCAGTTTTTCTAAAAGGATTTTTTTTTCTTTTACAATTTTGTTAATTTTGCAGTGATCATATCTTTGGGGTATTCAAATTACATGTAAGCTGTTTATGGATGTTTTTCCAGTAGATTCTAGTATATATAGGATCAAGATTAAAGAATATTACAATTTTGATTCTATCAAAATTATGTTAACTCTACGTTTCTTAACATCTTTTCCCGTTTTGGGTTAGCATGTGTGGAGTTGTGCTTTGTCATTGACTTTATCACTTGCCTGTTGCATAACTACGAATATACAAATACAGATCTGAATGTTTTTACAATTTCTTTTACTTAGCTCATGACTTAGGAACAAAAAACATCATACAATGTATCTACAGTTTCTCAGTAATTAAGATTTTATAACTCACTCAACTTTTAAACAACAATCCTTGAAGAGTTATATTCCTTTAAATTCAATTAAAGAAGATCTTTCTGAAATAAAAAAAAGAATATTTGGTCCAAAAAATTGTTTTTACACACATGTACTTCTCTTTTAAAGCTTCTATTTTTGTCAAAGCAATTGTCCGATTGGAAATTTTTAAAAAGTACGTGGAAAATTTGTTCGTATTTTTGTACTCAATGATTTTTTAAGCTTTAGAGACTTATCCCAGATATTCATTAAAATACAAGAGATACATTCGTACCTTTTTATATTTATATTTTACAATAACACCAATAAAACAATCGTGCATTGTGTGGTGTTGGAGTACATACATTTGTGTATTTTATCTTTCATTAATATTGCAACTCCTTTGTCCACATGTCTATTTATATGATACAGTTAATGACTGAGTATGAGTAGACATGATTTTATTGGTTCTTAAAACAAATGCTGCCCGAAGTCGAAGCTTGAAGGATTTTTTTTTGACTGTGGTTCCAACAAATTATAGTGATGTCCGTAAGTCCGTAGGTCCGTAACACTAGGGGATATCCATTTCTTATCTGGAACTCCTCTTATATCACTGACTAACATTTAATGAGACTTTCACGGAATCCTTATTCAATAGTGCTGTTGTGCACCTCCTATTTTACGTTTCGATCGGACAAATATATTGGGTTTTCAAAAGGCAAAAACTCTGACACTGTCATTCTTCCTATAAATTAGCCATTTCTTATCCGCAACTTCTTCTAAACCACTGAATAAACTTGAATGAGACATTCAAAAATGCATTTGTGTACCTCCTATTTTACGTTTGGATCGGACAGACATTTGGGGTTTTTCACAGCAAAACCTGGACACTGCTAGTATTTCTATAATAATAGGGATACTCATTCCTCTTCAATTCCTCCTTTACCAATGAATAAAATTTAATGATATTTTCACACAATCTTCTTACTTGGTGCCACTGTGCACTTCTTATTTTATGATACATGTATTTGGGTTTCCCATAGCAAAAACTGGACTTCGCTATTAGAGGGGTATCACGGTGGTCACACTACATCTAGTTTTATGAAAGGTACATGTATATAAAGCTTTAACAAGTTTTAATTACATGTAGATGTGATTAAAGGTGTCCACTAATATTATTGTTGTAATACCAGAATTAGAAGAATTGATAGACATCTTCCCTTGAACAACATCTAATGAGCTTCTTATGCACATGTGTATATAGTATTTGCATAATGAAATATTTAAAAAGGTATGACAATTATTGTATTAAATCTACAACAAACACTACATATCTACATATATGCAAAAATAAACATTAAAAAGTCAAAAATATCATACGCGTATCGCAAAAAATCTGTTATATAAGATTTCTTGACAACTGACGACATTTCTCTCTTAATCCTGGAAACTAATTTTTTAAAAAAAATATGTAGCCAATCATCAAATTATATTAACACCAATGATTACTAATCATTGATGTACACGTTAAAATAATTTGATGAGAGGAAATGTCTTTTCCTAAAAGAAATAATAAATACATTTTACGAATATACAAACCGGACATATATACCGGTAATTATATTGAACAAATAAACATTCAAAATTATATCAATATATAGCTTTGCATGATTTTCTTCACTACTTCTAATCGTATCATGTCACGTGTCCTCTCTGCTTTTAAAATTTTATTTTAGATATTGTGTAAAAACTGATTTCATGAATATTTTATAGTTCTTACAATATACATAATAAATAATTGCATGCAATAATACTCTTACTTAGGAGAAGGTACGACTATAAACATTATACAGGGAATGAAATTGAAAGTTGAATATGTGTCAACTATTTGACAAAAAGAAATTATTTAAGGAATAACTGTCTAATTTTTTGGATTCATGATGTGATCAATCGAGTGGCTTGCGTGATAATTTGCATAAACATGCATAAAATTATCACGCAAGCCAATCGATTGATCATCGTCATGAATCCAAAAAATCTGACAGTTATTCCTTATATTTACATGCTCCTGATTCTGCAAATTCCCGTGCTAATAGCCCCGCTTCTGTCTCTATTTGTCACGCCCCGCACGTGATATTTTTTTAACCTCGCCTATCGATGAACCAGTAGATTTATGTAGTGTTATGATAATGTTATGCATGTTTATGCAAATTATCACGCAAGCCACTCGATTGATCACATCATGAATCCAAAAAATTAGACAGTTATTCCTTAAATAAAGTATTTTTACAATTTGTAATTTTATCTCGGACAAAGACATTGGAAATGTAAATATTAAAGAATCTACTAGATGAGTTTAGTTAAATTAATATATCAAATAAATATAGGATCTCCCATGTCAAGGCTCGGGGATAAAAATAAAAAACACACAACTCATTGCATAAAAAATCATATCTAGCAATAAATCATGGGAGATTCCTTTTATCCCATGTTTTATGCATCACTATCAATATTTTACACCGTTTTTATATAGGAATCCACTTTATTTTACTTCATCACTTTCATGCAAAACCCATTGTGAAATGGTCAAACTTAAAAAAAAATCACACAACTAAGAGGGTGTTAATTTTGTTACTAGTATTTATTTATTTATTTTTTTACATTTTGAAACCAAACATTGTATTCACCATGTACACATGCAAACATCAACATGATAAATAATAATTTTATGTGTAATTTGTATATGTACATTTTCAAATATCCTTTCCTACAAAGTTAAAATCTGGATCACTGACCCTAGAAGTCAATATACGAGCAATATACGGCTTCATGTGAATAACTTATAACGAAATGTTTGTTCTCTGATAAAAACCAACCTTTACCCAATCGTGCACCTATATACTGTCAATGGGTCAATAAAAATAAAATCAACTACACTATATACCGCTGTATATTTATATAAATATATTTCATTCAAGTACACAAAACTTTTCAGATAAGAAATGGAATATTTTCTTTGGGGAACATATTAGCTTTTGTTAAAAGAATACTTTATTTCTTCAAAATTAATCTTCATGTGGTTATGACATACATAAATACATATGCGTCGTAATTAATGTACTCGAGTATTACAAAATGATACCTGAAGGACACAACACACGGTGTGATAGTGATGTCAGACACACAGTCCATGTATGCTTAATATCCTCTCTATTCACCCCAATATTATTCATGTATTTAAACTGGAAGATAAAACTACACTACTTCAAACTGATCTGGTCGTATTGAGGAATCTCAGTCATGTTTACCGTTACCTTATTTACCATTATACTTTCTGTTGCCATCTCTTCGTCTGTGGCTCTACAAAATAAACCTTACTACAGTGTTATAGAGGATGCTGGTCACTTAGTGCGGTCTGCTGGTAACATAAACTACGAGGAAAAGAATACAAATCTACTTCGTGACATTAAGGATTTACCAACATACCTGTTGTTTGGAGATGAGAACGATGCCGTTCAGTACAATGTGAGCGAACAGTGCAGTCTTAGTATAGAAGCTTTGCAGCTGGGTCTCCTCCTCCGACAAACATGGGCGATTCAAAGTAATTTTAATACTTTCTCTTCTATTATTCATTCAGAAACTATACATCAGCATATAACATGCGGTATATAACTTCTTGATGACTTCAAAGTAAATATACTACTAAGTCAAAAGTACAATTATTCTCGATGTAGTACTCGATGCCATTGGAAAACCCGAGGCTGGTATTCTAGATGGTAGTTTAAAATGGCTTGGTTCTTATGACGAGTGTAAAAGAACCGAATATCACAACAAAACCATTGGACTGGATGTGAAGGGGAAATATTCTGTGATTTACATACCTATCGGGACCACCAGTGACCCAGTAAGTAGAGGAAATACAAAAAATAGTCTTCTTATGACTTGATCAATAGAAAGAATTTCATAAAAAACATTCATTTCTTTATCCTGTTGTTTATTACAAGTTGAAGTTTCAATTTTCATCAGATATGGAATGTAAAGGACTATTCAATTAGTTGTGAAATTCTGCGTTTCATACTTGTTGGTGACTTTAAATAGTATTTTATTGTGAACTTTATGATGTTGATATACATATCCTTTACAAATAAAACATTTGTTTTAGTTAGCTGGAACAAACATTGTAACCATTTCAATTGGAGTTTGTCTGCCAGACAGTTGCAGTGCTAGCGACGTAACATCAATTATACACAACAGTAATCTTGTTATTAATAAAAATACATTTTAAAAAGATCTACTCAGTAATATTAACAGAAAAATAAAATAGAAAAGACATTCTTGATTTGATCTAAATTCATAATATCCTACTCCTTAAAAGGTTAAGTGTTAACTGTGTTCCGTAGATATGCATTATTGTATTTTGAACTCATAATATGCAGTTTTTTATTATTTGTTACTTTTTCAGATATTGGAAAAATTCCAATAGGAAACTTTTCTGCTATTCCTTTTTCTGTTCTGTCCGAAGAAGATAAACCATTAACTTCCAATGCCATAGCAGCAATGTACTCAACATTATGATTATATGATTTCATAATAATCATTTATACTATAAAATCAACTTTTTTTCGCAAGGGGGAAATATCAAGATCTCCTTTTGCTCGCGAATATATCTCGCCGCGAACGTTTTATTTCTTTATGAGTTTATGTAGAATAAGTCCTCAGTTGCGAGAATAAGTTGTCGCTGATAAATTTCAAACTGACTTATCGCGATTAAAAGTTATATTGAATAATAGTTTGTTTACAATAATCTCATGTCAGTCTTTTTCACAGTATATGTAGAGTTATAGATGGAAACGGTCATTATCATTATATCAAACAAACTGTCTTTACATTTTATATACTTTAATGAGCGATAGTTCAGAATAAAAAAAACATGAAAGAGATTCAATATATAATTAAAGATTTCAAAGCAAGCAGATTAATAAAAAACAATCGCGAACAAGCTAAAGATTGAATTACCTCCATTTCAGTGTTGTACTCAGCTTACTTGCTGCCATAATTGTTGTGGCCACTGCTTTTGACATCATCGTTGTCCAATGGTTACGCAGACGATCATCACTGGAGGAACCTGTCATTAACCCTGCCCTAAAACAGACAGACAACGAAAAATTTCCTTTGTTGAACCATAACTCAAATGAAGTTAAGGTGGAAGAAAGTAGGTAACAGGCAACAAAACAAGTCTGCGATGATAGTGATTTCTTCAATCAGTATCATGAACATATTCATTGTAACGTTTAACAACAATCAATCAATCAATCTTCATTGCAATCTTTTCTTTCTTAAATAAGACATCGAAAAATGATAAAGATGGTGATTAATCAAACTTCAATGATAATCTAGATTTAATTCCTCTTCCAAAAAGAAATCAAACTAAAATTTGATGTTATATTGAGAATGGATAACCTCAAATCATAATAAGGTATATCTTTTACAATTCAGGTACATTGGAAAAGCTTCTCTTGTCTTTTTCCTTTTACTCAAACAGCAAAAAGCTCTTGAGCACTCGACGTTCGTCCGACACTCTCACGGCGTTAAATGGAATTCGGTTTCTAAGTATTTCGTGGGTTGTTTTGGGACACACATATGCTTTTGTTCTTAGTAATTCCAGTGAGTTTTATTTTTTATTAAATTAGGCACATTGATATTACTTCTTATATAAGAAAAATATTTATCATAATTTAATTTGAAAGGTAATGGTGGGCCTTTTGTGAAAGATATGTTACGTAGATGGACCTTCCAGGTTATAGCCAATGCGTTGGTAGCAGTTGATACATTTTTTGCACTCAGGTATCTTTAACGAATGAATATAAATTGTAATGTCAACACATTTGACATAATTATAATAATAATTGGATTATTAGATAATTGGATTAATAAAAGGACCATTATCATATCATTTTTTGTTATTTTCGTTTAGTGGGTTGTTACTAGCTTATCTGACTCTAAAAGAAATGGATAAAAAGAGGGGCAAGATGAACTGGGCTATGTTCTATTTTCATCGGTTTTGGAGGTACGTAACGCCTTAAGTTATTTTTATAGAGATGAATAATTCAAAAAAATAATTTCATGACTTTATACAAAAGCATTTTTTTATGCAGTACAAAATAAGTTGTTCACAAAAAATCCTCTTTACATTAAAAGCTAATTTTAATCTCGACATGTTTTCTAGATTAACCCCAGCATACATGCTGATTCTAATGACAGAGGCTACACTCTCTCCCTATCTTTCTAACGGTCCTCTTTATCCAGCTAAAGGCTTTGAGATCAATTATTGTCAAGATAGTTGGTGGAAAAATTTATTGTACATCAATAATCTTTTCGATTTAGATACCATGGTAGGTGAATGATTTAATAATTATTATAATTTGTTCTCATTGAAGAATTTTTTTTCAAGTACTTTGATTATTGCACATGGAAAAAAAATGTATTTTATGTTCATTCACTTTTTTCTGACAATTCAGTTTACAGGTTATCAACTTTCAGTTGAATCCTAATTCGAAAGCATTTATTGACATTTTATTAGAATGTAATGTTGTATAAATATATATTTAATTCTCATATACACGTTATATGCACTTGTTTTATTTGTAGTGTATGGGATGGACGTGGTACTTAGCCAATGATATGCAGTTCTTTGTTCTAAGTCCAATATTTCTAATTCCTTTATATTAGTAAGTGAAATGATACAACTTTGGTTTTCATTTTTTGTCCTTTGCTTTCTCTGAAAATAGGGGATATAAATTTAAGTCTACCTCCGTCCTTCTGTCTGTCCGCGTGTAACACATTCTTTTCCGGAAGATATCTGATCTTTGCAATAACAAAAAAAAAATATCAGAAATCCCTATGGCCGAAAAAAAAGATATCTATTGATTTTTAGATTAAAAGATCAAGGTCAGAAACTCATACATTCTATCTGTGTGATTGATTGATTGATTAATTGTTGTTTAACGTCCCTCTCGAGAATTTTTCACTCACATGGAGACGCCATCACTTGACGGCGGAGACTGCAAATTTTGACCTATACTCGGCACTCAGGGCCATTGAGTAGTGAGGGATCTTTTTCGTGCCAGCACTTACTGCGACATGGGACTTCGGTTTATACGGTCTCATCCGAAGGACCGGTCTCCACGTCCCACAGTGGGATTCGAACCCGCCACGTAAGGATCAACTCCTTACACCGCGACTCTATAGCAAAGGCTCTAACCACTGCGCCACGCGGGCGACTCTATCTGTCAGTGTGTAACGTTTTCATTTCCGATTGATATCTCAAAAAGTGTCTGCACTTTTGCAATTAAATTTTATATCTTTAATGTTGATTTAACAATTTTTATGAAAGACATTATTCAACATTCGACCTTACAACAGATTGTTTTTGTAAACAAGATCATTGTATCGACCATAGAATTTGCGAAATGTTGAGTTTAATCGATATTGTATATTCCATTTTATCATCAACTTATTTGTCAGTAATCTGCCTCGTGTTAGAAATTGTTCGTATGAAGAACATGCTCCTGTGCATCAAATCAACTGGGATATATAAACTCTATATGCAGGTGATAATGGTATTTTGCTACATAAATGAAGGAAGTTTACGATATAAAACTTGAAGACATCACGTTTATCATAAAGTTTAGTTTAGTTAGTTTGCCATCAATTCCTTTCTCTTGTCAAATATCCATATTTGAAGCAGATGTGTCCGACTGGTGTCTTTTATTTCGAGTTCAAAGGGATATATGAATATTGTTAATTGATAAAACTTCAGCGATATATATATATATATATATATATATATATATATATATATATATATATATATATATATATATATATATATATATATATATATATTGAATTGACACAGGAAGGGACTTCTTTTGCTGTAGGACTTTTAAATAAATTCTGCATCATAAGAATACAATTACAGGTCTGCTAATAATAATTAATTGGAAACGTCTCATTTATGTTACAACTTTAAAATGACATGACTTAAATTTTTGTCACAGTCAGGAATTCCTAGGCATCATAGCCTGTTTAGTGTTCTTGATAGGAACAACCATCGCCCCAGGAGTCCTTTCCGCTCATTATGAGATGCCACCTTCCTTCTTTGTGCAAAATGCGAATCAGTGAGTTTTTTTTCTCTTTCTTTTACCTAAGTGTGGAAAATACATGCAAATAGTGTTCTATTAATTTATCTTGGCCAATTAAAATTTTAAGATTACTTGAATTGATTAAAAATTGAGTAATACAGTGTAGATATCAATTTACCTTATTTTACATCTAATTGCAGATTGTTCTTAAGATCAAATGTTATTATGCTTACAAAGCAATTTACAGTATAAAAAGATTTATTTTATTCAAATTCCTTTTCCAAAAAGGAAAGGCCAAATTCTCATTTGTTATATGGAATTTCAGAGATGGGGTTACACACTATTTCAAAGACTATTATATCAAACCATGGTGCAGAATGGGTCCTTACATAATTGGAATTTTATTTGGATATCTGTTGTTTAAAACCAAAGGGAAGGTCAGGATTAACAAAGTAAGTCATCTTAATTAAATTTTCTTTAAAATATTTACACTAAATATGGAGAAAACGAACAGTATTCAAGCTCAAAATCCATTTAAACAATGCAATTTAGGAGCATAGCAAACACGGGCCTCTACAACATGAGAAGTGGGATCAGATGCCATGGAGGAGTGTGCATCCCCTGCCGACCGGTCACACCCGCTGTGTGCTCCTTGTCATAATCGGGAAAAACGGAAAAAAACGTAGACAATTCAATGTTTAAATAATGGCCTAACAATTAGTATGGAAATTTAATACATACCTTATAACGGATTTTTTCTGCGTATCATAATTTCTGCGAAAATATTCAAAAACAGAATTTTTAATTTGCTATCTATGAAAGCCGACACGGTAGCCCAGTCCGTAGGGCGCTTGATCGGAAGGTCGTGGGTTCAAAACCCTATCGCGACTGACCTAAGTCGATAAAAAAAAAGATAGGTAGCAACTCTTCCTTTTCCTAGCCTTAGCACTTTAAAGTGAAAGTTGTTGATCTGTCGGACTTTAAAAATCCGAGTCCCTGTGTCATAAAATTCTTCTCTCCTTTAGGTCAATTCTTTTGAATTCCGAATACAACCTTTTATGATGTTTTTTTTTTCAAATAAAAAACTACAATGTTGCATTTATTTTACTTAGCACTGGGCATTTGTTTTAAAACATGTAATGGTACCCCTTTACGAACTATTACATTTGTACTTTTAATTTTGTACATAGATATTGAACCTGGCTGTTTGGGCAGTAGCTGCTGTTTTCGCTGTGTTAGTATTATATGGACTACATGACACATTGAATGGCCACACAATGTCTAATAGTGTATCAGCTTTATATAATGCAACAAACAGAACTGTATGGGGTGCATGTGTGTGTTGGGTTATATATGCTTGTGCGACAGATAATGGAGGTTTTGTGAACACATTACTCTCGTGGACCCCGTTTGGACCTCTAGCCAGACTGGGTTACTGTGTTTATCTTGTACATCCAGTTTTGATGTATATGTACTACTTTTCTTCGAGAATTCCTATATATCTCACAGATTTTACAGTGGTAAGTCAAAGTTAACAATTTATTTTTGTAAAATAAATAAGAATATTCAATTACCTAGATTGATATTCACTACTTAAAATCCCACGTCTCGGTTAAGAGAGGAATGTCCACGATTTAATCATTTCATTGCTCGTATTACCATTTTAATTCCAAGTCTTGAACAATGTCCAGTTGATCCTTAATTCTCATTTCAGATTTACCTGTTTCTCGGAAACTTTCTTATAGCAAACTTAGTGGCCTTTGTTGCGTCTGTGGCGTTCGAAGCACCTATGATGGGACTTGAGAAAGTGCTACTTCGAAGAGAGAGAAAATAAAGTTTTAGATTTAGATACTTAAGATTATATAAAGATATGTATTTTGAATAATTTGTTTTGTGTTGTTTTTTAAATTTTTTATACTGTGTTTAAAAAAAAACTAAGCCGTAGTATTCTAAGCTTATATGCTGCAAAACTTTTATTGTTGCATGTTTTTTTTTTCTTCTCGGGCAAGGATAAAGGCACACTTTGAAAATTCAAATGTCAAAAGGAGTCGGAAAAAATTAAATTCATTTTAAAAGATTTTGGTAACTGGCGATTCTAGTCGTTCATTAGATTGGAAGCAAATAGTGAGCATGTTCAATACACCGCATACAGATTTTTAATTTGAGTGGAGATTTCACAAAAGGTTACAAAACACAAGCAGATTTCACCTATTTGATGTCGGGTTTCATGTGTGGATATTTAAGAAATTTCGATTATGTATATATTTACATCTTTGTTTACCAATATGCTTGCGTAATGGGGTGTACAGATATATGCATCTCGGTGACTATATCGAAAATAATGAAAAATTTAGGAAAGTAATACTCACATTAAGAGTGACAGTGTCCAGATTTTGCTATGGGAAACTTAAAATATATTTCAAATCAATAAGCAAACAAGCTAATTCAGAGAAATTGTGTCCCCAACTTAGGGGAAAAAAGAAGAGCATGCGCAGTTCGGGGGCGGGGGTCGGAACCCCCCCCCCCCTTTCCCCCTTTGATTTGTAGAATTATTAAATGTATACATGCATATGGAAGGAAATAAAAAATCCCAATATGGATATAAAGATTTGATTGCTTATTCTTTAATATGTGTATAGAAGATTCTTTTTGTATAGAATATTTATCACACTGTAATAATGATTTTATGAGTTTGTACAAGCCAGACTTCATAACTTTTTCATTTCACATGCTGCACCCCTACTAATGTTATTGTGATTTAAATTCAAGACACGTGGTGTAGGTTGACCCATTCTAAGGTTATAGGGTAGAACCGGTTTTATAAATAAAATTCAGTGGCAGTAAACAGGATATTGCCTATAAAAATGTGTTTCCAGAATTTTCTGAAAGATTTTTAAGATTTTAAACAGAAATGAGTGGAATTTAAAAAATCACAATCTACTTAATTAATCTTCGCTTTTGTGATAATTTACGGCGAAATTTGGAGCTTTACGGGTAATGTCGCGTGTAAAGGACTTCGTGTGAGATTAACTCACTAAACAAGCACTGCTAAGCAGTATTGGAAAGCGTCTTTGATTGTTCTACAAAGTCGTCGGCGCTTTATTTGAGGCTCAAAATATTCACTCATCAGTCAAACATAAAAGTTTATTTTTTTTTTTCACTGTTTTGCCTAATAACAAAAATTGACCAAGTATGTTTTAATTAGACAGTACATAAAGCATTACAATGCAATGTATTGTAGGACAGTTGTATTTTTATTTAAAAGCAAAATTAATTAGCTTGCAATTAAAGAACTTCACTCGACACTCCAATTTTCCTCGGGATGTTTCGCATATATCCATATCAGTCTTTCAATAAAAAAAAAATCAGGAAAAGTAACTGTTCTTTGATGAGAACTTAGCTCTAAGTACTGTTATCAGAATATATTCGGTTTATCCTTCCTGGGGCTTATCTGCATCACTCTCAAAATTTACACTCATCAGTCAAACACGAGATTTCTCTCTTTTTCAATCTTTCATACACCCAAACTAGGCGTTGCCTAAAATAATAAACAGCAATGAAAAAATTTGTCGAAAAATCCTTCGGCATTATTACTGCATTGTTCATTTAGATTCGTATGAAAGAGAACAATCATAAATGTGAATGAAAATATTCCATCCAGTGTTTTTCAAAACTTTTTAAAAATAAGAATTGAGTAGAAAATATGTTAATCTACACTTAATTTTCAATACCATAATGTAAAAGAAAAATGGACTTCATTTTATTAATTGACATTGCATTGTAGTGCAGTGCAATAAAATGCAGTTAAAATCTTATTATGGTAAACAGTATAAATTCTTTTGCAAACAAAAAAATCCACTCATCAGTCAAAAAGGAGTATTCATTTCTTTTGCATCTTTTGCGCATACTCAAACTTGTCATTCGATAAAAAAAAAAAAAAAAAAAAAAAAAAAAAAAAAAATACAGTAACACGTAACTTTGCGAAAGTCTTTCGACTTAATTACTGATCATTGATTTTGATTCATATCAAAGAAAACAAATATTTAAGAATATGAGAATAAAAGAAATGCTCTCTAGTCTGTTTTTGAAACCTTTTTTTAAAATCATAAAATGAAAAAAAGTGTGTGAATTCAATGTTTTTAAATTCAATTAAAAAAAAATTGATTAAGTTAATTTTGATTGGACAATTTGGCAGGCATCACAATGTATCGCATTGTAGTGCAGCAGAGTGCAATATGGTGCAATTCTACTTGTATTTAAACAAGCACAATTATTTTACTTGTTAATGTATTAGAAATATTCCCCACCATCCACCCTCCAAAGACAGCTTTTATATACAATTTGTCCTTGTGATTGAATGTTTATTTGGAAATTTGCTTAATGTAAGTTTTGTTTCAAAGTTCGATAACTCAAATTATGTCCCTTTGAACAACGTAGACAAAACGAGCATTGATTTCTGCTTTATATTATGTAAATGTTTAAGCAATGCTAACGAGTAACAGGCTTGTATGCTATATATAAGACGTTTGAGAGACATTCACAAATGACCATGTGTTAAAGTCAGAGTAAATAACGGTTACGGGTAATGTCGCGTGTAAAGGGCTTCGTGTGAGATTAACTCACTAAACAAGCACTGCTAAGCAGTATTGGAAAGCGTCTTTGATTGTTCTACAAAGTCGTCGGCGCTTTGTTTGAGGCTCAAAATATTCACTCATCAGTCAAACATAAAAGTTTATATTTTTTTTCACTGTTTTGCCTAATAACAAAAATTGACCAAGTATGTTTTAATTAGACAGTACATAAAGCATTACAATGCAATGTATTGTAGGACAGTTGTATTTTTATTTAAAAGCAAAATTAATTAGCTTGCAATTAAAGAACTTCACTCGACACTCCAATTTTCCTCGGGATGTTTCGCATATATCCATATCAGTCTTTCAATAAAAAAAAAATCAGGAAATGTAACTGTTCTTTGATGAGAACTTAGCTCTAAGTACTGTTATCAGAATATATTCGGTTTATCCTTCCTGGGGCTTATCTGCATCACTCTCAAAATTTACACTCATCAGTCAAACACGAGATTTCTCTCTTTTTCAATTTTTCTTTTTTTTTTAAGTTAAGTTCTTTATTTCTTTGCGTCATACGACACATCAGATTACATATATAAACATATATACAATATTGTAAAATATAACAATATGAGAGTGAGCCTAATCAATAAATAGCAAGTAAACTATGTAGGACGTGTTTTTCATATACCCAAACTAGGCGTAGCCTAAAATAATAAACAGCAATGAAAAAAATTGTCGAAAAATCCTTCGACATTATTACTGCATTGTTCATTTAGATTCGTATGAAAGAGAACAATCATAAATGTGAATGAAAATATTCCATCCAGTGTTTTTCAAAACTTTTTAAAAATAAGAATTGAGTAGAAAATATGTTAATCTACACTTAATTTTCAATACCATAATGTAAAAGAAAAATGGACTTCATTTTATTAATTGACATTGCATTGTAATACAGTGCAATAAAATGCAGTTAAATTCTTATTATGGTAAACAGTATAGATTCTCTTGCAAAAAAAAAAAAAAATCCACCATCAGTCAAAAAAGGAGTGTTCATTTCTTTTGGATCTTTTGCACATACTCAAACTAGTCATTCGATTAAAAAAAAATTAAGTAACACGTAACTTTGCGAAAGTCTTTCGACTTAATTACTGATTGTTAATTTTGATTCATATCAAAGAAAACAAATATTTAAGAATATGAGGATAAAAGAAATTCTCTCTAGTCTGTTTTTGAAACCTTTTTTTCAAAGCATAAAATGAAAAAGAGTGTGTGTATTCAATCAGTTTTTAAATTCAATTAAGAAAAAAAAATTAATTTTGATTGGACAATTTGGCAGGCATCACAATGTATCGCATTGTAGGGCAACAGAGTGCTCTGTAAATCGATGGCGGAAAGCAATCTCAAGTACTCGCGGGGAAGCACACTTATTAGGTCCGTAACAATGGTTTTAAAAGTACCTCCAACCTCCCCCAAAAATTTGAAAAGCAGAAAAAAAAAGGAAATGAAAAAACCTAAAATGTCCAAACTTGAAATTCTTATTTCATGGAGGGTGGTGGTGGTGGAGGACCTTTCTCGGGGGGGGGGGGGGGCTTCTAAGAGCCTGCTTATGGTTTTGAAAAATTCGCAGAAAAGCAGGAATGTCTGGCAGATATGCCAGGGTTTTTTTTTTAAGAATTTTAAAAAAAGGAAAGGAGGAGTTATGAATGAAAAGAAAACAAAAAGAAAAGAAAACTAGATATAGAGAACCTATCGAAGAAAAAAAAATTAGAGTTACAAAGCACATAGTTATTATCATTATTGAGGATGATATGAATGGTCTTTTTTGACTTGGATCATCCTCGCAATGCCAGGGGTCCTGAGTCAACAAATTGCCGTGGGACTACGGCAACTTGTTGACCCAGAACCCCTTGCATTGCGAGGATAGACTTGGATACAAGTCAACTTAAGTACAACTCATCTAGTGTTACCCGGCATGATTGGAAGACACCCGCCAACCGGTTGAAGATTATTTTTTTTAATGAATAATTTTACTTCAATAATATTAAGAATAATTTTCTTTTAACAAAAATGTCCAGTTTCAAAAGGCAAGGGAAAATTATTACCTGGACTCTATCCGGAAATCCATATCGAAGACAGTTCTTTTTGTATTTACCTGATTTTCCCGCACTTCCTGCATGATATTTAAAAGAAAGATGATCATGATTATGATACTAAGTATGGAACCATAGCCAAGAAAAGCCATTAAGTATACTGTAAATTGTGA